ATTGCGGTTATGCTCGGAGCACTGCAGTGGTGGGCGGTACCAACCAATAGTAGTGGACCAGGGAATGGGAAGGGAGCTAAACCTGGCATTCCTTCATTGGTTGTTGACCGCATACAGGCCTTCAGCCACTTGCAGCTGACTTGGCACCGTAATTACTGTCCCAACTTGTAGTTAGTTTGTAGCTTAAATCATACTATGTTACATTCAAGTGTAAGCTATATTATACAGTAATCATATTACATTCTTCTAAATGAATAAAACCTTTTCTACCTGGGACTGCCACTGTACTGTATTGTAATGCCCCTTTCTTTTGACATACAAGAAAGTCGAAAAAAGCTAGATGTATTATTTGAGCCGATGGAAAAGCGTCATAAAAGTAAAAGTGACCCAGAAAATGTCAATACCCAATAGCCATGTCCTGACTACTTCCGATTAAACTGTTCTCTTCGTTGCTTTTTGTAATATAGGACCTTGGTGTCATTGTTCAGGGCAGTAATATTGTAGTTACTTCTTTGTAGGCAATAAACAAACAGATTATTGGTTAGAACATCCATTCACCTCAACGGACCGTTTAAGGGCCATGAATGGGCCAGAATGGGGAAATGCATGTAGAGATGAAGAAACCGATTTACGGCCTTAACTCCATTTTTTCTTGGCAGGCGAGATCGAGCTCAAGGCACCGATTATCAAGCACAGGAAGCGAGCCGGCTGAACTTCTAGGGCACTAATCCGCCGTCGAGAGATTGATACGCAGCTGAACCCAGCAGAGGACTATGTAACAAAGTAGGCACTTCTTTAGGGTTCTAAACTACTTTCAAGGAAACAGATCTGTCGCTCTGCACCAGGTTGTGACCATAGTCAATGATTAGAAAAGCCACAACATGTGCTCCTAATTGAGATTCCGAACGGCCGTGCGAGTCTGTCACCATTAGATCAGAGGGACTACTGCCACATTCTTCAGACCTAGAAAAACATCTGGACGATCGCCGGCCGAGCAATGATATGTTTAGATTTCTTAGAAGATAGAAGAATCAAGGTATACCGTAGCATATTGATTTAAAAGGTAAAAAAAAGGGCAAAAGTCCTCGGAGTTTCAAACTCGAAGCGACTCTTGAATACTTCAAGGCACAGTTCACGATAAAACGGTTAGGATGAGCCTGAGACCCCCAAGGGTAGAAAAGAGACGCTGTTGGGTCGAAAAACGGCCCAGATAGGACGTTGTAAAAGACGTTGCTCTAAAATCGGGTTGGCCGACGTACGCCAGAAGGCGGACGGTTGCCGCGGAGGTTTCGAGGCTTTGGAGGTTGCACCATTCTCACCCTGACGACACGTTGCATGCAGGCAACTTATCGTATCCAGTTGGGGTATGTGGCAATACGTTCGTCCGAGGATGCGCGCGGCGAAGTTTGTAATGATTTGAACGGCCTAAGCGCCTATCATTGGGGCTCAAATTTGAAGTAAGGTAGTTTAGAAGGATCATCTGAGCTCACCTATCTACTCTACTTCGGGTTTATGTCCCGAAAGCTGGCGTCAAAGTCGTACAAATCGTCACGACCTTCCCCGCGCTAGTTTCCGCGCGCTTCTCGAACCAAGTAGGGGTGTGTGGCGATTCGTGCGATTCTGGGTGCGCGAGGCAAATTGCGCGGCGAAATTCGCGATGATTCAAACTCCTGCGCCTATCATTGGGGCACAAACTTGAAGTAGAGTACTTCAGTAGGGTCGGACAATTTTACTAACTTACTTTACTACAAATTTGAGCCCCAATGATAAACGATGCAGTTGCCCAAATCGCACCGAATTTCACCGAGTAGTCTGCTACGCGCACCTAGAAAC